TTTTTTTTTTTTTTTTTTTTTTTTTTACAGTTGATAAATTGACTCAAAATACTTTTGGTGACGCGAAAAGTTATGACACCGTTGACCCCCCAATATGCTGATACAGCCTTACAACCCTAAACCATTTTTTGCTTAAAGGAAACCCCGTCCTTTAGGTTATTCTTTCTGCCTCATAATAAATAGGAACAACAAAGCATGAAAATATTTTGCGAAAGTTAAAATATTTAAGGACAGAATTTGGCTCTTTTTTCAGGGCCCAACTGGAGGGATGATCGAGGTGTGTATTTGTTCAGATTCATGCACATGTGCAGGAAAATATATCCCCTCGATAATTTTACTCGAACGGAGGAAGCTACAATCTACACCAAGGCACCTATTGCGGAAGGATTATGCGGTAGTGCGCCCTCCACACAGAAACACGTCAAGTGGGGGAAAAACAGTTTAGGGGTTCTCGTGTCAGGTGAATTTTTCCGCGCCTTAATTCCATTTAGCTGGGCCCTTAATTAGCACAAGGAAAAAGGCCGACACCAAGTGTAAACACTTTCAACACTGCTGTTTCATGAAACATAAAATTTCCACTACTTCCAGCCTCAGGGTGGGCAGGAGTTATCAAATTATTGACTCTTCATTCTAAGTGCACTAGCGCAAGTAAAGTTACCCTCACGAATGGGGAACTGTTCCAACTTTAAAGTATTACAAAAAAAAAACACAAAAAAAAAAAAAACTACACATGTTACACACGTACTTATGTACATACCCATTTGTATGTGAAAGGTTAAAGAGACACATGCTGGAAGGATAGCTCAAAATTTGTAGTGAAAAAATATTTGCGCAACAAACAAGTACGCCCCTCTGCGAAACAGTTTGGCTGTAATACTGATAACAGAAAAATAGAGCCCTGCTTGACGCAGCACTTTTGCATGCTGTATTTTTTTGCTCTTCCATTCATCAATAATTATTCATCGCTCATCATTTTTTTTTTTTTTTTTTTTTTGCTTCCAACACATTTATTTCTTGAAGTGATTTTTTCGCCTTCCCAACCAATCTGCTCAATTCAATTCTTCCATATCGAATTTTTTTTTTTTTTTTTTTTTTTTTATATGTAATTAAGCACACACATCCAGACTTGTTGTCCCACCTTAACCCCTTTGTGCATAAGCTCTTTTAAACCTGAACCCTGCCATTTTGAGTCCGCCGCTGTAACTTTGTGTTCCCGATAAAACAGTTAACCGAGCATTTTTTTTTTTTTTTCCTGCGACATCGCTTGCCCAGTTTGTGTCCATTTGAAGGCTTTTTTTACGGCAATTTGTGCACCATTTGAAGACATTTTTTACGTCAATTGTTACACCATTTTTACGTCAAATTGTGCACCATTTTTTACACCATTTCCCGCCACCCCCTGAGAAGATGCAAACGCAGCGTGACGCGACAGGGCGGTTCGTGGTGGTGGACAAAAGCGCAGGGAACTACGAAGCCCTGATCGAGCAGGAAATGAACAAAGTATACGAGCGGGTAAAACAATTAGATGCCAATCAGGCAGAATTCTTGCAGGCCTTTCATGAAATTCTCTACTCGCTCAAACCCCTCTTTATGGAAGAACCAAAATATTTGCCCATCATCGAAATGCTATCAGAGCCTGAGCGCGTTGTCCAATTTCGTGTGTGTTGGATAGACGACAATGGCATCCAGCGGAAGAACAGATGCTTCAGGGTTCAGTTTAACAGCACTCTTGGTCCATACAAAGGAGGGTTGCGCTTTCACCCCTCTGTAAATTTATCCATTGTGAAATTTTTGGGCTTTGAACAAATTTTTAAAAATTCTTTAACGGGTCTCTCCATGGGAGGCGGAAAAGGAGGATCGGATTTTGACCCCAAGGGAAAATCAGATAGCGAAATTCTGAAATTCTGCCAAGGGTTTATGAACGAGCTGTACAGACATATAGGCCCATGCACAGACGTCCCTGCAGGAGATATTGGAGTTGGAGGAAGAGAAATAGGCTACCTATTTGGCCAGTATAAAAAGTTAGTAAATAATTTTAATGGTACTTTAACAGGAAAAAATGTCAAATGGGGAGGATCCAACTTAAGAACAGAAGCAACAGGATATGGTTTAGTCTACTTCGTTTTAGAGGTTTTAAAATCGCTAAATATTCCAATTGAAAAACAAACAGCAGTAGTTAGTGGCAGTGGAAATGTAGCCCTCTACTGTGTTCAAAAATTATTACAACTGAATGTAAAGGTGCTAACCCTAAGTGATAGTGATGGGTACATTTTAGAACCAAACGGATTTACAAATAGCGACCTAAATTTTATCATAGAATTGAAGGAGGTGAACAAAGGAAGAATCAAAGATTATTTGAAGCACTCTTCAACAGCCACATATTTTCCAAAGGAAAAACCTTGGAGTGTTCCATGCACCTTAGCTTTCCCTTGTGCTACTCAAAATGAAATAAATCTTGAGGATGCCAAAAGTTTACACAAAAATGGATGCATGTTAATCGGTGAAGGAGCTAATATGCCATCCAATGTAGAAGCTATTAATTATTTTAAGTCTAATAAAATCATCTTTTGTCCTTCCAAGGCTGCTAATGCTGGGGGGGTAGCCATTAGTGGACTCGAAATGGCACAGAATTTTCAGTTCGCGAAATGGACCAGGGAAGACGTAGATCAGAAGCTCCAAGAAATTATGAAAAATATTTTCGTGGCATGTTCGGAAAATGCTTTGAAGTACACAAAGGATAAGTACGACTTGCAGGCCGGGGCCAACATTGCTGGTTTTTTGAAGGTTGCGCAGTCGTACATCGAGCAGGGCTGCTTCTAGGGAGAGAGTCGACGTGGTGAAGGATTGCTTCGCGTGGTGTCCGCGTGGAACCGCCTTCCTGTCTTCCGGGTCTACCGCGTGCCCACCCCGCTTTCGTCCATTTTTAAGCGGCACTTTAGGCGATACTTTTTAACCGCCCCTTTAAAATAACCCTCTTCACCACCATTTATCCATTTTTACAACCCGCTTTAAACGCGAGCTCCACACTAATTCGAACGATATCACTGCGCATGCAGTCCCCACTGCACCCGTGGCGGAGATGACGACCGCGCTTGCATATCGTTAAGGTCACACAGGAAAGTACACATCCGTTTATTGCCCCCTCCTTTTATATGTCCATACGTGACTCATTTATCGCAAATGCGTATAACCTACTGTGCACACATCGTTTTGAGCCTCCCCATTTAAACACACCCAATCCAGTATAAAATTAACCAAATTGATGAAAGAGACTTACTCTAATTAGCCCACCGTTAAATGGATGCTCCTGGTGCCTTTGGGGCCCGGTCCAGGGAGCATAAAAATGTGCAAATGTTCGTACAAAACCGCTATCTAACCACTATAAAAGTTACGCAACGCGCTTAAGAGGCGTAAAAGAGGGGAAAACAAAATAGGGCAATAAAAAACGTAGAATCTGATCCGAACAGAAAAGCATAGGTAGTGCGCCAGATAAATTTACACGTGGTAGGGGAAAATGGCAGTTGAAGCACCCATAATGTATGTGTCTGGGTTATTCTACATTTTTTTTTAAAAAATATAAGTTTTTTTTTTGCTCTGTTTGGCTTTTTTTCAATGTTGTAAATATGCTTTTGCGTGTATAACTAAAACAATTTGAGAGTTACTAGTAAGCGGTGTATTTCCGCGGGGTAGAAAAAACAACGAAAAAGACGCAAAGGGTAGGGGGATGTCGTTCTACATATGCCGTGGAGTGGACACAGACAGTGCGTCCAATTGGCCCCCTTCACAAGAGGGAGTGATTAGTCACACTGAGACAAAAAGGGAGAAACAATTCAGGTATAATATAAAAAAAAAAAAAAAAAAAAAAGTCATAAAAATATTCCGACTTTTAACGGATGCGAATATTCAAAATATTTTCGAGAAGCTTTCCTACAGGGGGAAGAAAAAAAAATGTCCACCTAGCGAGGATGATAGCAAGAGCGAAACGAACAAATACTCATCATACGCGTATGTAACTACACTTTACAAACATGCCTACTTTGATATTCGAGACAGAATTGCTCTCGAGCAGAGGTACCCTCACAGCATCTCAGTAATGCTCATGCTCCACTTGGGCACATCATTTTTCAACATGTACTTCAATTTTTCGCGCAAGGGAGATAAAAAGATTTTCTTTAAGTTATTACTTTCAATAAACTTATTAATCTTATCATCAAGGATATCATCACAAGTGAATTTAATTTTGCCCCACTCGCGTTCGCCCAGCTGAATGCTCAACTGAAACGATTTTGTTGTTGCAGTTGGACTTGTCTTTTCTGTGCACTCTGTGTGGTCCTCGGTATTTGAATAATTTCCACTATTACGTAATCCAAAAAAGGGAGAAAATTTTCTGTTTTTTCCAAATGAATTTTCACTTTTCACACACGTGTTATCCGTGTATGTATATTCCCTTTCAGAACATGCTGTGTTGCAACCTTTGGCCATATTATATATGTGATCTGCGAACTGGTTCTTTGTCTGTTCTATACACTGGATGCTTTTAAAATTGATTTCGTTGTACTTTAGATCGAATTTGCGCGCTTCCTCGGATTTCTCCCATTCTACGCACTTGTTTGGCTGGTGGGGAACATGTCCTTTGGCACTTAAACTAATTTTTTCATCACTGGTTTGGTTGTGCTTTCCAGTCATGTGGGAAGCACTCTGGAGGGGGAACTCATTTGGATGCGTGCCTTGTTGAAATGGGCTATTTGGATGGGAGCCATCTTGATGGGTGTCATTTTTTAAGATCAAAGGCTCGTCGAGGAAAGTCACTGCTCGGTGTGTGTTCCCCTTTACCTTGTTGGGTGACACAAGCGAGCTGGTTAGTGTGGCCCCTTGTTGGTTTGGCTGCTTCGCTAAGCTTGTGAGCGAATATCCAGGTTGTACTTTCTGTTTTTCCGTTAGAGCATTCTGCTTGATTAGACTCGCTCCTTGGGGGCGATAGCCACTGCAGGGGGAGCTACGCCCATCGGAGGGAGACATGCCTCTCGGGTTCTCCCTATGTCTGTGCATATTTATTGGGGACCTATTTGGGTTCGCGTTCGGGGGCAACATGTGAAGCGCGTTCTGGGGTGCACATTGTGGCCAATGAACATATGGGGAGGGAAACTGCCCCGCTCTACCAGGAATCACCACCCGACGGGCATCACCCCAGGGAGCATATGCACCGACTTTCCTCTGCACATTTTGATCAACATGCTGTGCCGCAAATTCAACAGGGTTGATGTTGCCACTGGCATTGGCCCTTACAGCGTCACTTAACTTTTCTTGGTTCGTTTTAAAAAAGGAACACTGATTTTCCGTCGTTACATTTGGCAGTCCTGGTGTATGTAGAAACCTACATTTTCTGAGCTGCCCCTTTTCTAAGTTACCATTTTGTGCAGCATATGGATTATCCCCTAATGGTGCATAGGTAGACATAACGGGGTTTGGCATAGGCCTTCCGAAATAATGTTCGTTTCCTTTTTTTAAAACATTTTGATTATTGTGCATTGCATGCTCATTTAGGCATGCTGCTCTCATTTGTACATCATCGGGAGGACTACAACTGGGTAAGTAGTATCCATTTTTGAAGTGATCCAAATTGTTTTGCATTCTTGTACCATAGGTGTGCATATTGTGTTGCATGTAAGGGTATAGGGGGGTTTTCCCCTGGTTTTTGTTCCTTTTTTGATTTTCAAGGTGAGCTGTTATGCCTTCCTCGTTAAAGGCAAACATTTTAATATTATTGTATACTTTGGGCATGTTGTCTCCCACAAGGGGGTTGAATAGTGATGGTCCGTTGTTTGGTGAACCCTTTTGGCGTAAGTACATGTCCGTGTTGCCCTGCATGCTTGCAGCGAGTTTGTTTGTTGAAGTGTGGGCGCCGCTGACCAGGTTGATATGCTGCTGACCACTGCTGGGTCCCCCCTGCCCAGGTAGGACACCCCCTTGGACACAGTCCGTTATTTCTCCATTGAGATACTTCTGGAACGTCTGAGTGGGCCCTTTCTTGTAAGAGTTGTTATCTTCCGCCTGGGTGAGGTCCTTACGGGGGACATTGCCTCCACTTGAGGGGCAATTATTAGCGCCCGTTTTGGGTTCCAGGTTATGGGGAAATGCACCCACAGTTGGTAACCCGTCCTCCTCAGGGTTGCTTTTTCTAAGACGTAGGTTTATACCACCATGCGGCGTATCTTTCGTGATGCTCTCTTCATAGGGGGGAATTTTGGGTGCAGATTCTTTTGCATGCGTTTCGGCATTCTGGCTGGTAGCCATTTGTGTCGGTAAAATTGGACAGTTCGCTCCATTGTAGTTCTGTCTCTGAGCAAAGTGGGGAAGGTCCACATACCCATCCTGCCTTATGACAGACTTACAGGTGTTGTAAATAGGCGGAACCTCCACAGCCCCCTGCGCGCATCGGACATTTTTGTAGTTGTTGCTTTTGTACAGTAGGTCCTCTGAGTTGTGCATTTTTTTTTCCAGCCCGTTGGTAGTGCCACTCGGAAGCACACTTGGAATACCGCTTCTCAAACCGCTTGGCGCACGTTTCTCCCCAATGTGCGAAAACTTATTTGCAAAATCTCTGCCTACTTTATGCCCCACTGTATTGTTCCCCTGAAGTAAGTAAGCTCCGTTGGGTAAATTTACCATCCTGTTGGTTTTGTTAAAATAGGGGAGCTGTGCGTACTTCATTTTTCCCTCCTCTGCACGTGTGCGTAACTGCACTGGTATGTTTTTGCTCTGCAATTTTGTTGACTTGTCTGGCATGGCACTGCACATAGGATTACTCACCGGGTTGCACATAGGACTGCACACCGGATTATACATGCCTACGCTTCTACCCTGGTGCATTTTGTAAGGAGACGCCACTGGTAGAGTGTACTTGCCTTGTGGGGGGTAATAACCTCTGTTCATCCATGGGCCAAATTTGTGAACCGATTTACCATCCGAGATGCTATTCTGCGTGCTCAGTCCATTAGGAGCACTCGCTTTATTGGCTACATTTCCATTTTTGTGGAGGATCCATTTGTTGCAGTTCGAGTCGGCCGTGTGCTTAGCATCGGACCTGTTCAGCGGATTCCATTTGCCAACCTCGTCCCTAAATGTGGGAACTTTGTCGGCTGGAAAATTTCCTTTAGAGAGTTTTTCTCCCTTATCATGAGAAGGGGTGTCCCGGGAAACGGGTCCATGTTCGTTCGATCCACTTGCGCATTCCTTTGCTTTTACCTGGACATCGCCAGATACGGTGAGGTCACTCGAATGTGGGAAACCCTCATCATTGCTCTTCTTTGCATTTCTAATTTCGCTCAAAAGGTTCACCTCATTTTGTTCATCCCTTCCCTGCGTTGCCTCCAACCCTTCTGCATCTTCGTTTTCGTTTTTGTACACAAATGTACCCCTTGAGAAAACGAGATTTGGCGTGGAATTGGGTTCTTTCTCGGCTAGCTGTGGGTCTTCATTAGATAGATGCGAATCATTCCTTAGACCATTTTCTTTTTTCCATTTTTCCATGGAAGGGATGTGTACAAAGCTGTTATGAAGGTGTCTTCTCGAATTGTCTCCCTTTGTCTCTTTTCCGTTTGGGGGGACATTTGCACGGGTTAAGGTTAGCCCCCCCAAGTTGAGGCTTTTAGTCATGTGTGCATTATTCTCCTTAGGGATGCCTTCCACCTCCTGGACAATGGTCATACAATTTTCGTTTTTATCTTCTGTCCATTTCTCACTTAGTAAACGACCTATCTGTGCTAGCTTTTCTTTTTGTGCACCTAACATGGGAAGACCTTCCTCTACGTTAGAGGATTTTTTGTTTTTATCCAAAATATTTGTCGCGGAGCCAGACTCACAGTTTCTGAAAAAATTTATTTTGAAATTGTTTTTGTCTTTCATGAGGGGTGGCCCCCCAGCAGGTGATTGTTTCCCTTTGTGGGATTCTACACTTCCGCTGCTACTCTCGTGGGTATCCTTAAAGGAGCGGGTGCTCGAAGGTATAAAAGAACAAGGAGTTGTGTCTTCTTTACCTAGTGAAGAATTTGAAAGGAGTTTTGTCGAATCTGGCATTATATTATGTCCCCCCGTTTCCATCAAAAATTTGGTATATTTTAAATTCCCTTCTTTATTTTCGTCTAAGTAATTTTCCGATTGGAGGGATTTTTGTACACGATGATCCTCCTCTTGAACAACTTCAGTTATGTAACTTGCACTGTCTGTCTCCACTATGGGGAGTTCACTTGGATCATGCTGTCCACGAGATGACCCTCTGTGATTATGTTGAAGATTATTTTCTTCCTCACCGTTAGATGTGTTTTTCTCCTCTACTGCAGATGTGCCAGGTTCCCCCTTATCGCAATGAACATTTTGGGCTTCATTTTTCTTTATTTTAATTTTGTTAACATGGTTCAAATTTACGAGCAATTCGTCATAGGTAGAGCTGCTGACTCCACCTTCCTTGCGCACAGAGTCATTTCTTTGGTTGGAGTCAGCCTTGTTAGAAATCCCTTGTCCATCATCATTATGGTCACTGTGGCCACTGTTATGTTGATGTGCCACATTATGGGACCCCTTTAAATTAATACCACTATTTACATTTTCCATCCTGACGTCGCTTTCGTCAGAAGAAATATCATCGTCGAAGGAGCTGGAAGAATGTTCATCAAGGGAGATGTCTTTCACCTCCTCTTCTAGCAGACAATCCTGTGTATTTTGTCCCTCCGAGTTTGTAAAGAAAAGTGGTTCGCCATGTTTGCCCTTCTCAGGCGTGTTTTTCGAGGCACCTTTGGATTCCCCTTTTTTTTCCCTGGCCAATGAGCTGGAGGAGGCCACCCGTTTCGGTGCACTTCGTTCCGCACTAAGCATCCCATTTCTGACACCCCCCTCTTTGTTAAACGTAACAGAGGAAGGCGTTTTTAGTTTAAATCTGTCAACATTATATTTAGTCAGATAGAACGAAGCGGATCCATATAGCCATAGGCTAGAGACAACAGTGCTATACACATGAATAGTAATATTATAAAAAACATCAGTCTCTGCATTTTGCAAGATAATACTTGATGATTTATAAATTTTGGATTCGGTTGATTTAATGAAGCCATTGACAAACTTGGTAGTGAATAATTTAAACTCCAGACTTCTTTTGGGGAACTTGTGTTGTGTATGTTTCAGTAGCTCTTCATTATTTGAGTCTACGTTGATTTTTATGTAAATGCTTTTGCATTTGTATGAGACTTCTATATCGAGAGGATATTTTTCGCTTTTGTTCTTTTTTGCTAAAATTGCTTTTCGTGCACTAATGTTGTAATCCTCCGCTTTGTGGGATTCTACAATTTGAGTCTCCACGGAGTCATTCCCCAAGCGGCCTCCCATTATGCCCTTCGTACCCTTTCCTATCTCGTGCTTGCCATAGATGGAAGTCTCAATGGGCGCTACGTTCTTCGTCCTGCACAATGCGTTTCTTTTGGGTTCCCCTTTGGCGTCCTTCTTTCCTACCCCCTTGACCTCCCATTTGGAATTTTTCCCACCTCGTGCACCATTGTGGGGGTACGCAACAATGGCGCCTCTCCTCACAGCTTCCCTTTCTCGGGAGATCATTTCCTTCATTTTGGATAAATTATTTTTGCGCATATTGGCCAAGGTGCTGACCTGTTTGGTCTCCTGCGAATCACAACTTAGGTTAGAATTGTTGAGGGAGCGAATAGGACTGTTATCATAGGAACTGGAGCTATGACAAGAGGGAATGGTGTATATTTTATTTATGTCTCCCTTGTCGGATTGTTCTACTGGAGTATCCTGATCTATTTCCTTCTTAGACGCTCCCTTTTGGAAAAGGATGTACTTATCCTTGCTCTTCATTTTTTTCCTTTCGCAGATAATTTTTCCTGTCCTGTTCAGGTTACCGTATTGTTGACTTTCGTTGTGGTGCCTGTGTTGTCGTTCCTCCCTTACCATTTTGATCGACTTAAGTGGTTCGTTACGTATTTGTACTGCATGCATGGGAATATTATTGTGCTTAGAAATGAAAGGAGATTTGATTTTAAGTGCTTTGTTGGTGTCATTTTTTTTGCTTCCTATTTTGGGGCACCTACGTAATGTTGTGTTGGTCTGTCTTTTTGTGTATTTTTCGTCCTTTTTATGATCTTGCTTCATGGGGAAGTCTTCCTTTTTGGCGCTCGCCCGAACGTTTGCTCCACTTTTGCAGATCTCCCCCTTTCGCTTTAGTTCAATTAATTTTAGCGAATCGGACAGGTTGGAAACGTTGGAAACGTTCGAATGGTGCAGACGATTAGGACGATTGGAATGATTTGGACGATTGGGAGTGCCTATCTTCTCACCACTCAGGTGATCTTCGGCTAGGTCTACGTTTTGCACCAACTCGACTCGTCTATCCTTGGGCGGCGTTTCCATATCTTTGCTCATTTTTTGATGAAACTCTCCACGATCGTTTTTCAGAGCCCAGTTTGCGTAGCCATTCTTGCCATTTTTCGAATTGCCGTGCTTTCTTGCGTTCTTTAGTATCCCTTCTTCCCGTAAATCCCGCTTGGAGGAAATAACAGGGTTGACTCTTCTATTTTTTTTCTCACCACAGGATGATGCTTCTCTCACCTCTTCCACCTCTTCCTGGCTGAGTGAACCAAAACGAGGGGACACAAAATATCCATTCTCTTCCACCCTGGCACACTCCTCCGCTTGTCTTGTCCTCTTCACCTTATCTTCCATCGAAATTGCGTACCTTGCTTGCTCATTGGCCTTTTTAATTTGCCTAATATAGTTGATACTTTTACTTAGCTTATCCTTCTGGTGAACGAAGTCTCCATCCTTGCAGCTTTTCCTCTCTACAAAGGAGCCATAATTGGAGTCGTCCTTTTCTAGCCCTTTTCTACTCCCCACAAGTGGCTGCATAAAGTCTGACATTAGAGGATATGTAAGGTTCTCCTGACTGTTAATCATTTGCTCATTTTTTACATTTTCTACACTTGGGTGATATTCTTCCCCATTTATGATCATGTAATTTGCCGGGATGTACTGCAACTTTTCGTATGGCATCCCTTCATGCACAGAGGAGGAGTCATTGGTACTTTCACAGTTTTGATGGTTTAATAAGTGATAATTATTTCCTCCCTCTGCATCCAATTCTATTATATTTGTATCCCTAGGTAGGTAGTAGTAATCCATTGGGTCTTCTCCCATATTTTCTACATGTTCCAATTTGTTTTCACCATGATGAGCGTACCCATATGTGTGCATTGAATCTGTAAAACCGCTGTTATTGCTTAGGAGAAACGTCTTATCGTCCGACCTGCTCCTTTTCGGTTTGTTAAATGGGTCCTTTAGAACCCATTTGGATGGGTTCAGCATCTGCCTATTGTAGCTCATTTTTAAGGTGGCTCCTTTTTTCACATCCCCCAGCTCTTCTATCTTTTGTTCGTTACCCTGAGGTGGTGCTTCATAACGCTTGACCCATTTTTCAGCCACCTTTACGTTATTAGCATTAGTGCAGTTGTATAAACGTGTGGCCATCTCCTTTTTTGGAGCAGCGCTACGATTCTCTGCGTAATTATTCTTGGGGTTGTCTACACCGGGTAAGTCACTCGATGATGGAGCACCCATGTTTTGGGCTCTCTTCAACTGGAACGCTCTAATTAGGTCACTCAGACTCTGTTCAGTGTTGTTAAATTTGTGCATTTCATTTGGGGAATCATCCTGGTTTGTCGAGTCGTTTGCCCTTTTCAGTTGACCTTCATTAACACGGCTTCGTAGCTGCGTGCTCTTCTTCGGGTCGTTGGATCCCATAACACTGGCAGTGTTGCAATAATCTGCATCTTCTGCGTTTTCCCCTTCATCTTGTATAGTTCCAAAATGTGGTAAATCGGGCAAATGTCCTCTATGCCTTGTGGTGCTACTTCCGCTGCTGTCTTGAGTGCCATTTTGTTTTCTTTCCATTTCATTCATGTGGTTCCTCTTGGGTGTACCTCTCTGATCGATGAAGGAGTAATTATTGCTTCCATGCACCTCTTTCGTTATCTTAACAAAGCCGTTTCTTCCTTCAGCAATAGCACTCATATCAGCATCAGGGGTTGCTTCTTTCTTATGGCTATTTTCCCTACCCCCCACATGATTTGCAGTCCATTCTGTTTTTATAAGTCTGGACGGAAAGATGCTGGTTCCTTCATTTGGGATTTTGTCCTCCCCGCTTTGATGTAAAGGATGTAGTGGATCTCGCATTTCGTATTGCGTTGGAAGTGCCATTCGTTTGTCCTTGTCATATGACGTACCATCCATTTTGCAGATCAAGGGGGGATGATTGTCACCCTCGTAATGGTTGCTCCTGGGGGGGATATGCCCTTCACGAAATATCATCTCTAACGAGTCGTGCCTTCCGAAGACAGGTTCCCTTCCCATCCCCGTCATGCTCTTCTCATTACTGGTGTCATTTTTCCTGACCTTAGTTCCTACCTCTGGTGACATTCCATTATCGCACATGACGTCATTTTCCTCATTTTGCAAAATGTGAGTAACCACCAAGTCATCACTTTTCTTTTTTAGTTCCGTTCGGTTCATGCTCAGCTCGCTTGATGAGGGGCTACTATTTAATGGTTTGGGATTAACCGAATAGTAGGTCAAATCTTTAGACTTGCTATAAAGGAATTTGTCTTCTTCCCTCAGGTAACTGTTCTCATTACATGCGTTTTTCGCGGGTGTGCGAAGTGGACAGCGGTTTTTGCCGCTGCTCAACTTTTCTTCCATTTTGTTCTTCATCTCAAATTTGAGTATGTTATTGTGTAGATCAGTATTCTTTCTGTTCGTAAAGGGGAATGGAAAAGAAAGGGGGAAGAAAGACGGCAAGGTAACGGAAGGGAGGGGGAAAAATGAAAACGGCATTAGTATATCACAACCTTTAAATTTATAAAGTACTTTTTAAATTTGGAGTACTATCCCCTCTCCCTGTTCCAACATTCCACTGTGACTTGAATATCAAATATCTAGGCTTGACTTGTCGCAGTGGGGTGTTTGTCACCTCTGGTTATGTAACTATCTCTTCAAATGAGCAATCGAGTTTTCCTCGATGGTTGTGCAAAGCACATCATGCAAGAGTTCCTTCTCAATCGGGAGGTCACTAGTGGGACATAAACTTCCCCTGTTGAAACAGTTTTTTTTTTTTTGTCCAGCCAATTTTTTAGTGCATTGCAGTGTGGTGTAGCGTAGTGTGAAGACAATGTCTGGCTTGTTTGTCTCTCCCCTAGGGTAGTAACATCTACGGGAGTTTTTTTAGCTCAACACAGAGCGGACGCTTGGGTGCATGTATGTGGGGTGTACAATGTCGGCGTTGTTATGGTAAGTAGAAAAGTAAAAATCGAAATGAAGTGTGTTGTTCTTTTTTACAATGTCTTTAGAATATTTTTTTGAATTCTTTTACAACATTTTTATAACTGTAGATCACTCTTCCACAGATCTGAACAAGTAGAACTTCCACGTCGCAGTTTTTTTCAGCTGTCACTCAGTTGAAGTAAGAATAGGTACACATGGCATGTACTTGCGAAATAGGCTAAAAAGACAGAACAAAAAAAAAAAAAAAAAATGCTTTAGTGACTAAACAATTTTTTCAGGTAAGTATATTTCTTTAGTATAAATTTTTGCTTAAATTTATGTTTACGTTTACGTGTTTTTTATTTATGTTGTTTGTTAATGTGTTTAAGTCGTTACATTTTAACTTTTTAATATTGCATTAGTATTTTTTCTTGTTCTACTTTGTTTTCTTTTGTTCTTCATTGTTCTTCTTCGTTTTTCCTTGTCCTTTCTGTTGTGCTTCCTGTTTTTTTTAGCTTATTTCTACCACTTCGTGGGTAGTTGTACGTTTCCACTTGCCACACGCCCTCACTTTATTCATTCCTGACCAGATTTACCCGTTGCCCTGGTGATGCACTGCCTGGACGTTCTGCATATCCATCAGGGACCCTGCAATGCAACACTTCCTACTGCCTCCATGTGCTGCCTCAGCATATGCGAGTCCTTTCATTTTTTTCTCACGCAGCACGGTGAAGCAGCGTGTGAAGGTTATGTAGACATGTATAATACACGCACAGGCATGTGTTTGTTGTTCTGTTTTTTTTTTTTTTTTTTTTTTCCTGTGTGCATACTTATGCAAGCGCGAAAGAGGCACACTTTTTTTTTTTTTTTTTTCACCTACAGTGTGCTCGCCCCTACTTTAAAAAAAAAAAGTGTAAAAATGCTGCACATTCCTATCAACACATCGTTGTGCCTTAAAAAAAAAAAAAAAAAAAAAGTAGAAAAGGAAGAATTGACAAGCATATGCATTGACTGTTCGCTTCTTTTTCTTTGTGCCCGTCTGGCCCATAAATAAATTTTGTTGTGAAAAGTATCGTTGCGCTGCAAGAGCGGTATCTATACATTTGAAAATGTACACCATGGGTGGACGTGCATGCACATTGTCAATACCTTGAGTGCACACCCATTTTAGGGGGCAAAAAAAAAAAAAAATATACTGCGCATGAATGAGCGTAGGTACTAGGCTGAACACATATATATAGGTACATTCTCCCCGCTGCCCGTGCACCACTAAGCAACAAGAATGACACTACCATGTGGGCAACGAGCAGAACGTAGAACAAAATAATTTGCAAGGGACCTAAAACGCAGTAAAGTTTGAACAACCTCCCCTGATCAATGTGTGTATGTGCAATTTTTTTTTTTATTAAATTTATTTCTGTTAAAAATGTGGGGCAAGAAGTCCACCTTGTTGTAGAGGAAAAAATTATCAAAGTGCTTTTTTGTTTTTTCTGTACCCAGGGGTCATATAATTTGTAAAACAAAAAAAAAAAAAAAAGACTAGAAACTACTACCTCGTTATGTAGAAAAGGGGCAGCCCGCACAACGTGTAAACTTCAAATGATGGGGGGAACTTTTTTTTTTACACTTCCTAAATGCAACGTCGCAGGGGTGGAAGTACTTTCACCTCTTTCTTCATTTCGTGCACTTATGTGCCTATTCCGATTTGGAAAGGAAGGAAATAATAAAAGAAAAAAGGAAAGGAGTCGAACAGGTGGGAAACAGGCCGAACGACATAAATGCTCCCCCCCTTTTCGCATGTACCCATTTTATTTGCCCTTCACAAACCCGAGTGTGATCTCTTTGGAGGTAATCAATTTTGTAAGTCTAACTCTTCTGCCCTTTTGTGGAGCCCCAATTTGGGGGGGGGGGGGGGGGACAACAAATCATACAATTAAAACCTCTTTGAGAGTCAACTTTTAGGTAGTTAGTAACAGGGGGTAAATCAGAGCAGAAAGTAACACAACCGAACAAGACACAATGCACAAGGAAATTTCGCAAAAAAAAAAAAATGGAGAAAAGGAAGGGTAGACAAAAAGGACTTCCACGCTGTGGAAAGGAAAAGGCTGTGTCATATCTGATCTTTGCGCGCCCTCAGGAAGTTTCCGTTCTGCAAATTCCTGCAAGGAGAAAAACGTGAAAAAGTTGGGTAATGAAATGTTCGAGCGGATGGCACTGTTGGCGGTGTGTGTTCCTCCTAACTTTTTGTATTGACTTCATCATGTTCATTACTTTTCCTTCATCTTGAGGAGGTGTACTTTCCGCCAGAGGTTCTCTTCCAACCTATTTTGTTCTTCTATAATCCTTCTTTTTACTTCCCTCTATAACAAGGAAACAATATGGTATGCATTTTTTTGTCCAGAGCAGTCGAGCTAGCTTAAAAAAAAATGTTTCACATAAAACGTTACGGAAATTATGCCCCCACATATTAATCTGTGCACATATGAACGAAATCACTTTTCCATTCATCCCCCTTTTGTTACCCTTTCTTTGTCATAATGTTCCAAATCGTTGTGGTATTCAAGTGTCATGAGTAAATCTTTGTATCCGTATGCCCTAATTGATGAAGGTAGGTAATGGAAGTGGGAGAGAGAGAGAATGAGACAAAGGACACGGTTCACAAGGCTCATAGGGATATCATGGTAACATTTTTGGAAGATAATCGGAGAGAGTTTACATCTCGCGTGAGTTTGCTAATTGTGAACATAGCTACATATATGTACGTATTCACATGGGTGCATGTTTTTTTTTTTTTTACGGGACATCGTAGTGAATCTCAAGGGGGATGGGTTCCGACGCCTGCCAATTTTGCTGGAAATCCAGGGGGTACAGCAAAGAACTGCTGGGCAGAAAATTCAAGGGGTTCATTTCTTCCTTCCTTGCCTTGTTCGACAGAGCGAATAGTATCTGCATGGTCGTAAAATGGAAAAATGGAAAAAAAAAAAAGAGGTAATCCTTTTTTAATTGTGCACGAAAGAGTAGTGCACTAGGACGAGGTGAAGACTCGTTAGCTTCTACCCTCCACTCCTATAATCAATACAAACACAAGGGGAATGAAAACGCTAAGGATACTTCTTTAAATTCTCCACATTCATGTGCACACAGTATATATGTGCCTTCCTCATGTTATCAGTGTCTGCACACGCGCGTGCTCTTATGCGCCCTATGGAGTACCTGCTGACACGCAACTAGAAGGTGAAGCAGAAGAACCGTTTTCATGACATTCATTTTGTTTTTACAATGTTATGTAAGTTACAGGGTGGAGGAGACTTGCGCTGCAATTTTTGTACACACGGAAGGTTAACAAATCACATGTGCGAGGTGAAAATGTAAAAACATTTCCGTTTTTTTCTGTTTTACCCTGTAGAGATCATTTTACGCATGTCTAGTATCATGTTGGTAAATTTGCGTATGTTTGATGGCATCTCTTATCAGGCTTTGCCTACATGTATGTACACGTGTGGGTCATTATATGGGATCGCGGTGCACATGCCTTTGGCGCACCTCTGAAGGGGTAAAAACAGAAAAAAAAAAAAAATATTAACACTGAATCCGCGCAACAGCGCGACGCGCTTTCGAACCGAGCGGGCGAAACAACAAGCCAAGGCCACCAACTGCGGCGAGCAACGGGAAACCATGCGACGATGAAAACGAAGGGAGAGATGGCAACGAAGAGGCAACGCAGAGAAAAGGGCAATGTTCACCTTTGAGAGAATGAAAAAAAAATGAAAAAGAGGAGAAAAACTCCGCACCTACTAGTAGTACTACTATGGTCATTCTTATGGTGCTTCGTATGGTCCTTCTCTCTCATTCGTAATCGCTCAAACTGCTTCAATCATGGCAGTAGCGAAGCAAAGGGGGTCCTTACAATAGGCAGCACAAGAAGCGGCTTTCGGAACAGGAAAAAACAGTTCACTCTGCATAGCTATGGGAAGGAATTTTCTGAACGATTAAAGAAGCTGAACCTCCTATCGGATGTTTTAAAAATTGATGCGTACCCATCGTCCTTCATAAAAAGAACAACGAAAATAGACGAGTTGAAGAGGAAGTATGAAAATTTAAAAAGTGGTGAAAAGGACGAAAAGAAAAAGTATGTCATATACGGCCGAGTAACAGTCAAAAGGAATGATGGAATGTTCCTGAACGTACAGGATGATTGTGGCACTATACAAATATATGTTGATGCACATTTGGTACTTAATGGGGGAAACAAATCGGGGGAAAAAAGGAATGACTGTCTAGAGAGCGATGGGGAGAATGACCGGGCGAACAAGGATACCTGTCCAGGTGTAACGCAAAATGAGATTAACTCTCTTCATGGTGATGGTAATGCTACACATGGGGAGGGAAGCCACTGGCCCTTGGGTACACAAGGAGAAAATCCCCACAAGGAAAACTCAATAAGTGTGAGGAAAATTATCGAAGTAGGCGATTTCGTAGCCATCAAAGGATTTGTTAGAAAATCCCAAAGGGGAGAAATAACTTTACACGCAGAAGAAATTTTCTTACTAACTAAAGCGTTGCTTCCCTTGCCAGACAAATATAAAGGAATGAAAGATGTTGAATATAAGTACAGAAAAAGATACCTCGACTTTTTAATCAACAAGGACGAAAAGGAAAAAATCCTTACCAGATTTGAAGTCATACAAGAAATTAGAAAGTTTTTGCTAAAAAAAAAATATTTAGAAGTAGATACCCCAATATTGCAGTCCATCCCTGGAGGTGCTTCAGCTAAACCATTTGAAACTTTTTTAAAGTCTTTGAATTTAGTTCTCTATTTAAGAATAGCACCTGAACTATATTTGAAAAAATTAATCATCAGTGGAATTTCAGAACAAATTTTCGAATTTAGTAAATGCTTTCGCAATGAAGGCCTAAGTACCGTTCACAACCCTGAGTTTACACTCCTCGAAATTTACAAGGCCTACTCTAATTATAAATATATGATTAAATTTGTTGAAGGGTTAATAAAAACTGTGGCGAAGAAATTTTCTTTGCGTTTGAATATCGATAAGGGTTTGCTTTACCAAAAGAAATGGAAAAAAATTTCCTTTATGAAAATAGTAAAGGATTACACCTGCGTAAATTTTCTCAACTTGTCATTCGATCAAGCTTATAATGAAGCAAAGAAATTAAACGTAACTTTTGATCAAGGGAAGGAGCACTTAAATTGGGGACTCGTCGTTCAGGAAGTTTTTAAACGAAAGGTGGAACCCTTTTTAGATAACCACCCTATCCATATATATCACCTCCCTGCAGAAACTTCCCCTCTAGCCAAAACGTTAATCAAGAATAAAAAACTGTCTGAACGTTTTGAAACGTACATAGGGAAGATGGAAATAGCGAATGGCTACTCCGAGGAGGCCAATTCTCTAATGCAGGAAAGGAAGTTCATTTCTCAACATACTTTAAAGAATAAAAAGGTTGAAGCCGGCAGTATCAGCTGCACAGAGGAGTCTACGTCTCCGGATGATGCTCGTTCAGGTGCTAACCGGGGGGACCAAAACCAAGTGAGTACTTCCTCTGGGGGGGAATTTCCCCAAGGAGACGAACAAATTAGCTCAAAAATGCAACATATGCAAAATGACAATCACGAAATCGATTACGATTATGTAACCGCCCTGGCGCATGGCATGCCCCCAACGGGAGGCTTGGGAATAGGGATAGATCGCTTGTGTATGCTGCTGACAAATTCGAGTTCGATCAAAAATGTGTTACCCTTTCCCATAATAAAGCCACACTGAATTGAAGACGCAGCACACGCAGGGGAATAATTACATGCACATTGGCAAAAGTTCCATTTTTTTTTTTTTTTTTTTTGTTTTTGTGTCACATTTTGTGAAAATTTTTAAATCATACATGCGTCTTTGTTTGCGCGCCTTTCGAACTTCTGCACGGCTCTTCAGTGTAAAGAGGTGTTTGTAATTTTGCTCACGCTGCCATCTAATGCGCGTGCACACATGGGGTGTTAAATGGAAAAAACTGAGTTCGCCACGTTAAAAAAAAAAACAATCTTACACAGAATGAGTAACCACCTTATCAAAAACAAATGCATACATACGTGGAAGCATGCATGGCTATATACATGTAGGTACACACTAATAAAAAATGAAACCTTTACATGGTGTCAGTTTGGCAAGTTACTAAACAAATAAAAAAAAAAATTGTGAAAAAAAAAAAAGGTGAATAAACTTATAGTACACATGTAGACGGTAATTTCTTGGGGTTGTTAAAACATAATCCCTTCCGCCTTCTTGTCCTTGTCGCTAAAATTACCACTGCTATCTTGAGGCTTCTTCGAAGCAACGTCTGTTGGCGATATGGCCGTTTTTGCACTGCGAAAAGGAGTTTTTTTTTTGTTTTTTTCAAATTGGTGCAAACATCATGATAATTTACACCAAAGTGGGGACCGTAGGAAGCATGAAAGGGCAACCACAAAATGTACAAAAAACAAACAAAAAAAAAGGATACAAGAAAAATTACTTTTTCACAAATTTTGTAAGTTCGGAGTTTTTTTCGTCCAACTTCTTCTGGCACTCTCCTATGATTTGTTCCACCTGCAAAAGTGTTCAAGAAACGACGCAAATGTGGTAAAGAAGTAACGTTTCTTCCCCCCGAAGTGTGTGGTTGAGCCAAGTCGTAAACTTTGCTCTACATCCAAACGGACAAAAAAAAAAAAAAATGTTGTAACAGTTTTATTTGAGGGTGAAGATAAAAACACACACTGTGGAATATCCTCGTGTAAAATTGCTTGTACCTTGTTTTTATGATCTACCAAAGCTGGTTTAATTTCACCAACAGTTCTTTCCACCAGTATTTCTCCAACCATTCTATAGCACCGTCTATCAGAGGGGACATTCTCCAAGGCTTCCAGTACGAGTCTTTGCAGTTATTATGCAAAAGGGGGAGAGAAAGGACAAAAATAAAAAAATAATAATAATAAATAAAATAAAAAGATAAAAAGGAAATGCCTACATCAGTGACAAATTATGATGCAAATTTACATTAATACTAAACATGCTTATCCCTACTTGTGTTCGACGACATCTTGGTATAACTCTTCTATTTTGGATACCAGTTGGACTCTATCCTTTTCAATTTGTTCGTACGTTGACTTAGCCTCATTCTGTTCACTCAGTTCGGATGCTTGGATAGTATTCTTAGTTTCCATTTTGTGAAATTCTCATCGAAAATGCCGTTGCAAAAGGTTAGAGGCTCTGTGTAATAGTTCCGGCTAAAAATGTACACTCACGGGGGTGTTTGCTCGAATTGCAGAAAGGTACGCACATACATGTACACAGCGTACTTACATGTACATACGTTCATTCGCGAGCGAAGAAAAACTTTAACAAAATGTTAACAGAAGAGGGGCCGTTAATTACGCTTTTATTCGTCGTGTCGAATTTTTCATTGAAGCTGAGAGGAAGAAAAAAAAGAACTTTGCATCACACTTTGGGGAAATTTTTGGAGGGGTAAATACTATGCTGAAAAAATGAAAAAAAAAAAAAAGAAAAGCGTCCTCATCCTGTGCATTTGTTTTTCTAACTTCATCATTTTTTACGTGTGTTTTGAAATGGGCTAATTAAACGCATAAGTCATATGTTATTTTTTTGGGGTACCTGTTTTGTCCGCTCTCCTATCTCAGCACAAATTGTGAAATAAAATCAGGCCTTTTGGAAGTATGTACGTATTTCGAGAGGACGTTAGTTTATATTTCTTTTTCCATAAACACCAAACGTTCTCATCATCGAAAGTTGAAAATGAACACATAAGTTTTTATTTATTACGTGTTACGTTTAGGGATCGCGTAGATGTTAATTAGAAGGAAATAGGAAAATGCAGAACTGTGTAAAATTTGACTATGTAATGAAATTTTGTTTTTTCATTTTTACCCCTTTGAGAGAAACCCGTATTTTATGTAACGTAAGACTTGTAGTATTTATCCCCCATTTATAACACATGCACCATTTTTGCCAACCGCTTTAAGGGGGTATAATTATGCAAATTCTGCAATTGTAATTAGCACCAATTTGAAAAAACGAAAACAGAAAGTTCCTAAAAAGGGAAACAAACTTGCACGCACATGTTCAAATAATACAACTGTAACTAATTGCGTGTATGTCCACCACAAGGGGGTGTACACACGTACGCATGGGACGCTAAGAAAAAATATAACATATCAACCCTCGGATATGAATCATAATTCGTTCTGCAGGACAGTTTTTAAAATAACCTGATAATTTTGCACGCATGATGGGCAGAAACGACAAATTTAAAACCATGTAATGAAATTTTCTCTATTCCGCATGGAATTTTTTCCAAAATTTCGAATGTTAACGTGCCTCTCTCATGAATGAACTCTGGAAGTTCCGGGAGAGGTTTCCATCCCTGGTTACTAGACATTTTCGGGAGATATATTTAAAACGTTCGAAATATGCTTTACACGTGCAAGTACCTTTTCGCAATATAACCTTAAGAAATGTATTTTCGTTTTTTCTCTCAAAAGACTTGAAACACTTTTTTCCATTTCGAATAGAATTGTCCACTTTATGCACTTAGCTCTTGACAAGTGAAAAATGAATCATTTGTGCAGCACGTAAAAATAGATCTATTCGTGGTGGGAAAAACAAAAAAAGAGAAAAAATTGCACAAGCCTGATCTGCTTTTTGAAGAATAAATTCGTTCCTTGCTCTTTTTTCCCACCACAACAGGCAGAACTTGGAGTCAATTTAGAGCTAAACTGGCAAATGAAATGTGATTAAAATGTGTTATCTACATTAGCTATCTAAGCTTGCAAACAGCTATTTTTTTTTTTTTTTTCATCAAATATGTTATTGCCTGTTCATATTTTTTATTAAAAAAAAAAAAAAAAAATTGCATAAAGCGTTGCATACACTCACACAGGGCTAATCTTTTTGGTAACAATTATAAAAAGAAAAAAAAAAAATTCGTAACAGTTCAGGTAAAATGTTTATACATAAATATACATACACGTTTGCGTAAAAGTGGTACGAAAACACCATTCCTTACAAAAAATTAAGGACAGTAGAATTTTTCTTATGACCACCGCGGCGTTGTTCACCCCTGTTTACCTTCTCGTTTTAACTTCCACCTGTTTGCACCTTTATATTAACCGTCTTTTCTTTTTTCTTTTTTTTTTTTGTTCTTCTTTCTTTTTCAATTTTTTGTCATAAGGGAAAATACTGAACAGGTACAAGAACACAGCTTTTAAAAAAAAACCTCCCCCGTTCCATTATATACACACAGTTTTTTTAAGACGCGTTAACGTTTATGCATGCGTTGACACATGCGCACCCTCTGGAGATAGCACTTCTGTAGCAAAAGTTCACATTTTGACAAAAAAGGCGCGAAATGCGTATAACGTGTGGCACGCTGCATATGATGCATTTTTCGTGAAACATAGCATGCCATTTGCCCATGACATGCTAGCCCTTTTTAAAAGCTGTCAACCGGTGAACAATTGCTAGTAGTATCAAATAACACATCGATGGAGTTAACTGGAGAAAATTTGTGCGTAAGCCCTGCCCGAAGAATTAGCCTCCCCTACGATGGCTATAACGTACAAATGGGGTCTCCATTATACACCGGCAGTATGGGCGAGTTATGCCACTCCAACCCAGTAATTAGACAAAGGCACCTTCGGGCGTCTCCACTTTTTAGTGCACATAAATGCAGAATACATCATTTTCAAAGACACGCAGGAGTTCCGGTTTTTCACAAGGAACCAAAAATTGTCGAAGTTCCGGAAGTGAGAGAAGTAACAAGATTTGTAGATTCGGTAAAGGTGGTAGACATCCCAGTGGAACAGGTCAGAATTGTCCCAAAATTAAAAATAAGAGAAATCGAAAAGATAAGACATGTACCTGGTCCAGTAGAGTACATCGATATTGAACAGGAACATATTGTTCACAAACCGTACACAAATGTAATAGAAAAAATTTATGAGGTGCCTGAAGTTGAAGACGTACAAATAGAGGTTCCAATTTATGTGCCTACACCAGTTGGCCCTCCGAAGGACGTTTATATCAATGTCCCTTTACCGTATGACGTTCCACAATTTTGTTACAAACCAGATAAACAAATTGCACAGGGTATTCCATACCCCACTTTTCAGAGAGTGGTAAATACGGGTTCTAATCCTTACGTGGGGGAAGAAGCATTCGATGGTTATACATCAGATGTGGACTCCACGAAAAGGGAAAAAGGCGAAATGTATTCAGATGCCCAAATGAAGCGGAGGGCCACAGGCACAGAAAGCCGGGCAAATGATGAATATCATAAAAGGGGTTATTCTAAAAATGACACCCATATGGACGGCCGCTACATGGATGAAGGATCGCGCAACTATTATGATTGTCAGAGTGGGGGTACTCATAACAAGTACGAAAATTACAATTCGTATGCTACCAATTACAGATATGACAGCAGAGGAAATGGGATTACCAATAAAGAAAATAATCTGAACTCATCTGAACCATTTGATAAATATTATTATTCATATTCGGCTTATAACGACAATAGGGGGAGACACACCCAAGACGAGAATTACGAAGATAACAAAAATTATGTGTACAGTAACGATTTTTCGGAACAAAATGCTCCGACTAAGAGGACCACAGCGGAACTTATAGTTAAGCAGTCCAAAAAATCGTTCTACTAAATTGTGATGCTTGGTGGCTTCTTCACTGCGCATTCGTTTACATGTGTGTCTACCTACATGTGCATCTCGCTACCTCTGCGTCAGTTTGCCTCTACTCCTTTTTTCCACTTTAAACGTTATAAAAGCCGCGTTATTAGAATTGCTTTAGCTAACTGTGAAGCACAGTAACGGCTACTACTGTAAGGAGGACTAAAAAAAAAAAAAAGGAAGGAAAATTAGCCCATCTGCGGACGGACCTCGCTAACGATATAGCACATGTAAATGAGTTTACTAGTTCATAGAGACGAATAAAAATTATTGCAAACTTTTTTAACCCTAATGGGTGGGTGGTGTGTCCCATGAGACAGTGCTGAAGAGGTTCATTCATTCTGAGCTGTAAAAACGCACTCTGTTTGCTGAAATGGGGGGGATCCCCACAGAGCAGAAAAGAACTGAAACGAGTTAGCTGAGTTGAATCGCATTGCATCTAACATTCCCCTTGCTTTCCTAACCTTTGCAAGACGCGCCTTCGCACGTTAGGGGCTATATATAAAAAATTGACACCCCCTATTTTCACATGTTAAAAAACTATAATCCATTTTTGAAACTCCTGGCGGACGAGGAGCATATTTTTTGGAAATATAAAACGAAAAGGGATTTTTTTTTTTTTTTTACCTCTTTTAGATTGCTATATTTAAAAGGGGAAAATATTTTCCCGCGCATGCATATGTCCTTCTATATGAAGAGACAAAAGAGGGGCGTTTTTTTACACGAACAGAAAGATTAAGAACTTTCGTGCTAATTTCCTATGGTGTACTAAGCTAAGTATTTTATGGCTTACCTATGATATGTCTTTTTTTCTTCCATCTTTTGAAGTGCACGATTTTGCTATGAGGATTTCTCTTAAAGGAGGGGGAAAACGATTTAGCAAATAACGAGCAAGTAGCATAAGCTCAGTTGTACTCGATTGATTCACCCCCATCGGTGGCAAGTGCAAAAGCGAAGTGTAATATGATATGAGTGGGGGGACACTGCGATGAGATTACGAGAGTGAGAATTTTAGAATGAACATCTGAAGAGTCATACTTCCCATAATGCATGTTTGCCAATTTTTTTTTTTTTTTTTTTTTTTTTTTTTTTTTTTTTTTTTTTTTTT